CTTTCTTTCCTTTCTTTCCTTTCTTTCCTTTCTTTCCTTTCTTTCCTTTCTTTCTGTCTGTCTTTCTGTCTTTCTGTCTGTCTGTCTGTCTTTCTGTCTGTCTTTCTTTCTTTCTTTCTGTCTGTCTGTCTGTCTGTCTGTCTGTCTCTCTCTCTCTCTCACAGGAGGACTGGACACAGAGCCCAGCCACAGAGTTGACAGAGTTCAGGGGCGCGGCCAAGAGGAGGACAAGAGGAGGACGCAGAGTTGACAGAGTTCAGGGGCGCGCGCCGTGCAGAGAGAAAGACAGAGAAAGAAAGAAACACTTAAAGAGAATGGGCGCGAGAGAGAGAGAGAGAGAGAAAGAAAGACAGACAGACAAAAAAGAAAGAAAGAAAGAAAGAAAAGAAAAGAAAAGAAACGTCAAGAAAAGAAAAGTAAAGAAAAGAAAAGCAGAAAAAAAAAGAAAAGAACAAAGAAAAGAAAAGAAAAGAACAGAAAAAGAAAGAAAGAAAGCAAGAAAGGAAGGAAGGAAGAAAGAAAGAAAGACAGAAATTCTTAACTGGGCTCTTGTCCCCCTCTTGTCCTCTGTGCTGGGCTCTGTGGCTGGGCCTTGTCCTCTTCTTGTCCTCCTCTTGTCCTTGTCTTGGCCGCGCCCCTGAACTCTGTGGCTGGGCTCTGTGGCCCGGCTCTGTGTCCGGGTCTTGTCCTCCTCTTGTCCTTGTCTTGGCCGCGCCCCTGAACTCTGTGGCTGGTCTCTGTGGCCCGGCTTACTGGAGAGGAGTGTGGCCGAACAAATAGCGATGTCAATGCCGACACAAGTTCATTGATGAAACAGTTTGCTCTTGGGGTCAAAGTAGGGCGTACCAAGAAATCGATTTTTGACTAATATTGGTCTAAATGAATCGTTTTGAAGCTGTTTGGGGTCTATGCTTGTATAGTTTTTTCATTTGATTTCATTTGTGCCTTGATCTCATGAATTAAAAGGTTTCGTTCAGCCCGGCCAAACGTCCTGAACAGCCGGGGAGGATGTTTGAGTGGATGATACTGAAAACCTAAGTGTTCAGAGCTTGGAAGGGTATAGCGATTAGACACTTCAAAAGGACTTGAACCTTCCATGGTGTAAAACTTCGGCCGCTGCTTTTGTGCGACTGGCCGGTTTGAAACTCAGCGCAAAACTCCTCCGGCCAAAGCTCTGCAGACGCCCACAAAGGCCGCCACAAGAAGCACATGAATCCCACATGAACCAGATGACTGGTCACCTGTTCGGCCAAACCTTGATCCTTCAGTGTCCCCTAAGAGGTGTCCCCTCTGGTGTCGTCCACTCCGTATCCGTTCTCGTCCTTCTCCACGTATCGCCAGGTGAAGTTCTTCCAGAACTTCGATGTGGAGCGCGTGCCAGGTGACAAGGCTGACCGTGTGGCCGACGGTTCCTCAACCGGGTGAAGACCTGTGTGGTCGTCGACACGTTGTCAGCAGTTTGGAGGACATGAAGGCCTTTTTGGGCGCAGACCCGAGTTGACTGTCACAGAAGCTATCAAGTGTTGAGTGTGGTTTTCCCGCTTGGGGGGTCACAGACTCGGCAGAAACCCTTTTCTGCAGCTCCTTGAGATTGGCCTTCACTTTGATTGCAACCTTCGCACAGGCTGGGTATACAGTGCTGAAGCCCGATGGACGCAGTCCACCCTTCCTGAACTTTGATACGCCGCTTCATCTTCACGAAGAAAGAGTCTTCACACTGCGATACTGTCAGTGCCCATCTGGAAGGAGGAAAGTTTCTACTGTTTTTTGCCATGGCTTTGCCAAACATAGGACTGAGTGGCAAACCAATAGACTGTGCTTTTGTCGTTGAGTTTGTGGCCGTTTAGAGTTTAGATCACGAAAGGTAGCGGTTACGCTACCTGAGTTTTCCTTTTGCTTTAGCAAAAATGTATTAACCCAGAGCTGCAGCCTATCTCTCGGAGAAATGGTCCCCGACATCTTCGTTTGCTGGCCGGGGCCCCCCCCCCCCTTTCAACTCCACCCTAGCGCGCCTCGGGGTCAACCGTTCGAAAGCACTGATATAAAACACTGTAAATATCAGTGTTTTCAGCTCTTCCAGTCCTCAGCAGTGACCAAAAATCATAGAATTTACAGCGTTTTTTGTGGCTGTCCGGCAAAAAACACCGCAAAAACCGATGGTTTTTGATGCGTCTCGGTTAGAAAAATGACCGAAAAAAGACCAAAAACCAGGAAAGATTTTGTCAGAAAGGGTTTTTGAGGCTTTTGGAGGCTTCAAAATTGCACAAAGCTATGGTATTTACAGGGTTTTGTGCACCTTCCCGGCAGAAAACGCAGGTATTTACACGGTTTTCTGCGCTTTTCCAGCGCTCAACCGTGGTGCGCCTTTGGATCGACGGCTACAAAATACCGTAAATACCAGTGTTTTCAGCTCCTCCTGTCTTCAAGCGTGGCCTTAGACCTTGCCGCGGCTGTGGATCGACGGCAACGAAACCTCGTAAATACCAGTGTTTTTGAGCACGTCCTGTTTGCAAGCATGGCCTGCGGCCACGCAATTTACAGGGTCGCCGCACGTCACTATGTAAATCCGAAGTTGCATTTGAGAAATATGCGACTCCTTTTGAAGGCACGTCAACCTGTATTGAAACCGCTAGACCACTACAGCTTCTGGAGGTTTTGTCAAGCGCTTGTGCATTAGTCTTTCTTTCATCACGCTCACTCACTTCTCTTCAAACAAGTGGGGGGCCTCTCACCTCCTCCCGGATTACGCCTGATTCCCTGCTACCTTTCGTTCACCCCCCTCCTCTCTCAAGTACTTGAGAGGCCGTCATGGATCTCATCACAAGCAATGGAATTGGAAGCAATGGAATGAACCCGTGCATTTCCCGTTTGGATTTCTCCGTCCTGCTCGCTGCTCGCCCTTCTTCCGAGCAAGGCAGTTGAAGAAGGACCGAGCCGAGAGTGTTCTGGGGAGTGTTCTGGGGACCGACACCCAAATCGCATGAAAAGCAACGGTCTTTTTCTTCCGAAGTGTCGTTCCAGTGGCTGAGTGTGTGGGGCTAGCCGCTGGTCCATGCGAAGAGTGCAGGAGGCCACCTTCCTGGGCCTGTACAACAACTTCAAGTTGCTACCACGGAGCCCTTTGCAGGCCTGAGCCAAACTGACCCCACTGAAATGGCTCCCTGGGTGATCTTGACATAGCGCACTGAAACATCCTCCACAGTGGTGACGTCGCGGAGGGTCGGGTGTGCTCCCACGCCGTGCACCAACGAAGCAGGCTTGCGAGACGGAGGACCGGTGAGAATTGGTGGACGTGAGCAGGAACGATCTCGTCCGCACAGGAACGATGGAACTGCCGGCTTGGCGGTGCATCCCGAACGAGTCTCTTGATCAATTAGTTATCAAGATCCTGCCATGCACCTTGCAAGGACATGTCCAGTGATCCCTGGACAGGATAGCCCTCTCGAAACTTGTGAGTGATGTTGACAATGACTCACTTGCCAAGAATTGATGGCCGTCTGATGTCCATTGGTCCATTGGTTTACTTGGGTTGCAGTTTTGAGGACCCTGGATTTGCAAACGCGCTTCTTTCCGCGCATGTGTACAGGCCATGCGATAATCATCTTGACAGTTTAGTATCTCCACTTCCACTGGCTGAAGATGTTTGCCTGCGGGTTGGTTATGCAGGCACTGGAGCATGTCCCACGTTGCTACTGGACAATGCGTTGTCATTGTTCTCCTTCTCAACACCGCCAATATACCAAGTTCACACAGCAGACTGGTTGGGCAGGTTCCTCCATGCCTGAACCCCCGCAAGCTTTCTCATATATGCTCTGTCGGGTTTGTATTTCAATAGTGAGACCCCCAAGCAATCGGTTCTAGTTCCTGACCCGGAAAAACCTTGGGGGTCTCCCAATTTCCATTCACACCCCCCAATAGGCTGATCCCTTTGTCTGGCATGTATCAGACATTGGTTTCAACCATGGATCCTTGAAGTGTATCTTTGTCCAGTGGGCTGAGCAGACCGCCCCGCGAGCTCAAGTCTCTGTATTAGGGGCTTTGTGGAGAAAAGGCACCGATGGCGCGATGGCACATCGCACGATGGCACGATAGGGAAGGCATAGCTGCATATCCTTGCACTTTCCTGTTCTTGGTGGGAATCGTTTCACCTGTAACAAGACACTTTTTAGTATGTCTTTGAAGCTGCGTAATAATAAGCTTTCTAGTAGAGTAGAAGCTACTAGGTGGAGGCCACCGCTATTAGGTTGGAGGATTCAAGATTGTATGGGGTTGTTCGGTTTCAAGGCTCCTGCTGAAAAGGGGTCCTTTTCAAAGTTTCTCCGTTGAGACACTGACACTGCAGCACCTTTCTGCAGACACTTGCTTGTGTTTGGACAGGACATGATAAACACACTGGAGCAGACGAACAGAGAAGAGAAGGGAAAGAAGGCGCTGGTTCATGGCTGACTTTATGACCTAGGTCCTAGGCCCTGGATGACAAAGTCAGTTGGAATGTTCGATCAGCATCCGCAGGCCCACGGTCATGTCCTACGACAAAGTAGTGTGTTCAACAGATCTTGGCACATCTCAGACCACCTTGTTTCGACTTGGACTTCGACTATGTCCAATAAGTAGTAGCAAGAAGCTACTAGTAACAAGGGCATCGCTACTAGTAACAAGGCATTACTACTAGTAGCAAGCTACTATGTAGATTGAAGACTGGTCCAAAAAGCTAGTACGTCCTTCCTTGAACCTCTGCTTTGACCAAGCTCCGCAGGCGTTTTGCGACCAGGCTCCGTCCATGGCCGACATGTTTGCTCCTTCGTTGTCTCTTTGCATGTAAACAGAAGATGATTTGATTTTCTTTAAATCACCCGGAGTATTTTTCCGCAACTTCTTGAAGAAGCAGAAACAAAAACATGTAGAATGGTTTGTATCATGTCTTCATTCAGGTGACATCACCCACGCATCCGACATGACTTGCGGTAGCTTCGGCTTTCACCAGTCTGGCCATTCCACATATCATCACTGATCTATCACCAGGAGTTAAAGCACACCAAGAGCACCTTGGGTGAAAGAGAGGACGGTTCCGCTATCGTTTTTGTGCTTTGCTGCGCCGGGTTTGGGTTCGCGCCGCGAAGGAATGTGTGGGGCGCGTGGAACGTTCACTTTTCCATCGAAGGTTCCGCTCCCATCCAACGCGTGTGGACGAGTCAAGCGGCGTCTGTGGCCGCGTCGTTTGGAGATTTTGAGCGATCCGTGATCGAAGAGCATGCTGTAGGACGAATCCAAAAGAAAAAAGGCTGCGCTGGAGCTGACCACGGCACAGGCGTTTTTTTGCAGACGTGTGCTGCATTCCTAGTCGAGGGAATGAGATGACCGTCCTAGCAAGAAGAGATACTGACTCATACAAGATGATCAAGAAGCTGGAAGATCTCTTGCATATTGCATGCAACATCTGACTTTTGTTAGCCTGTTGAGAATGCAGCAGGTCGCTCAACTCCGGGAGCAATTGGCAAGCTTGGCCCAAGAGTACCATGGCTGCGACGAAGTGGTGAGAACTGAAACGATGAAGCCGAGAGGAAAGGCAACAATGTTGGAGACCCCGTGGCAAACTGACACTGAACAGCTTTGACACTGCAAGAGTTCAATGGCTTGCTAGAATGAAGCAAGGCGCTATTTGAAAGCTGGTTTGAAAGCCACAGAGAGAAACAGAGCGAGCGAGACAGAGCGAGAGAGAGAGAGAGAGCGGGGGGGGGGGACCAAGAGAGGGAGACGGAGAGTTGGAGAGGGACGCCAGTCCACTGCAGGGTTGATTCATTTAACTCGTTTGAAGCATCTAGAAACAAGACGTGCAAGATCTTGCAGTTCTGTACACTGAAGATCGGTTCGAGTCGCCCCACAGGGTGAAACAAACACCACCAGATTGCTTGGAGCGAACCTCGTCGGGATCGTACCGCCGAGGCTTGCAGATCTTGCTGACAGCGAACAGAAGCTCACAGAAATGCGCCAGGTGCCACCACGCAGAACTCTGTGCAGAACTCTGCCAGCATGTTCGTTCTGCTTCATGCCGAACGTATATCATCGTGAACGATATGGACCCGCACGATCCAATATGAAATCCCTGCCCATACCAGTTTCCTAAGTGTTTTTCAGAAGAGGTCTCTCGGCCATGATTGAATGCCAGGCAGAACATCAAGAGCACACGAAGGCAAATTTCAGATGGCAGGGATTGGGGGTGTTGCCATACTGCAGTGATTGCGAAAGTCCTTGATGAATGATGTTTCGAATTGCGGTGATGGACTCCGTTCCCTTCAATCCTGGTGGTTCATGTCTTGGATGTGAAGTGGGCAGCAGGTGCTGAGCAGGTGCTGCGTGCACATATTTCCCCAAACCCGCTGATGGAGAGAGGCGAAAGACGCCCCCCGGGGCATCCGGCTTTACAGTATTACAAGCAGCAGTCTCACATGCGGAAGAAAAATAGGTGCCCTTCCCACTTTCCGCTGGGGGAAAGAAAACACAGATGGAGTTTCCCATAGTTTTCCCATTGTTCTCCCCGTTCTCGGCGCCTTTTTCCTTCTTCCTCCGTCGGTCCGGTCGAACCCGTCGGTAGGCCTACCAAGATTTAGAGCTGGGCCTCGGAGGAGTGCAGACGGCCATCAAGGCACCCGGCGAGCGGCTACCCGGGCGCCACCGGCGCTGCCTGTGTTCATTTTCGAAGTTTCATGTTGATGTTGCCCAGTTCATGGATGGAGATGAAACAGGTTTTTTCAAGGGCACACAGCTTGAGAGGACTGGGCAGGTTGACAGGTGTTGGTTTTGTGTTTGTTGTTTCACTGCTGCAGGCGCTGCGGGACTACTATTCACAGGATCGTCCTGTTCAACTAGACATGGCGGAGGGGACACCCAAATGCCCGTTGCACATGCTTTCAAAGGATCTTTGCAAGGGCAACAAGCGGCAGTTTGGATCGCAGTCCTTGGAAAAGAAGCTTGGTTTGATGTCCATTCATGGATAGTACACACTCCTCCTAATATACAGAGCACTAGCTAGGCAATGATTCTTTGGGAGATGCTCTCATTCCTACAAAAGAAGGCTCTCAACTTGATGCGCCAAAATATGCACCCCATTTGTCTACTTCCAAGGCATCCATGGCCTTGGCGGCCGATGGGCGTGCCCCGCGCGTGGACATGGGAGACGAGGTGTCCACAGCAGGGGTCGGGGCCCGAGAGCAGCCCTCGCATGCCTGGTCAAGGCTTTTGAACGGAGGCAGAACGGCCCTGCGGGCTGAACCTGCGGCGGGATCGTTCAAGTGTCAAACATGCTGAATAGAATTTACATCATGTCTGTTTCAACAATAGTACATATACAAACACACACACTCATGGATATGCGTACTGACTTGATAGCGGTGCCACACGCCAGCCTAAGAAACCCAAATCCTGAAAAACCAGGTGAGGGGGCCTGAGCGCCTGTAGTTAAAGGCCAAAGTTCCAAAGTTCCAAAGCCACGAGATGACGAACAGGTCGAAGTGACGACGGTCCGTGGACATCTGCAGAACTCACTAGCCCTTTACGAGAAGAGTGGAGTGAAAGCTTGTCAACGCCACAACCAAGCAGGTACGTCGGAGTGATCAGCTCCGATATCCTCCCAACTCATGAGCAGCTTCGTTGGCAGTAGACTCATGAGTGGGCTACTGCCCCCTGCTAAAAGCTCAAAACAATCCGAAGGATCCCTATGATTCCAAGGGTTACACACACACACACACGCCTCCCCGAAGGGAGGTACACTTTTAAGCTCCATGCCGAAGGTGAGGTGAGACTAAGAGAACTGTCGGATCTCACGATAGGTCTGGTAGGCAGTCAATGGGAGTC